TAGTAACACTCACTATGATAGTAACACTCACTATGATAGTAACCCTCACTGTGATAGTAACACTCACTATGATAGTAACACTATGATAGTAACACTCACTATGATAGTAACACTCACTATGATAGTAACACTATGAGAGTAACACTCACTATGATAGTAACACTCACTATGATAGTAACACTCACTATGATAGTAACACTCACTATGATAGTAACACTCACTATGATAGTAACACTATGATAGTAACACTCACTATGATAGTAACACTGTGATAGTAACACTATGATAGTAACACTCACTATGGTAGTAACACTCACTATGATAGTAACACTATGATAGTAACACTCACTATGGTAGTAGCACTCACTATGATAGTAACACTCACTATGATAATAACACTCACTATGATAGTAACACCATCTCACTATGATAGCAACACTCTCACTATGATAGTAACACCATCTCACTATGATAGTAACACCATCTCACTATGATAGTAACACCATCTCACTATGATAGTAACACCATCTCACTATGATAGTAACACCATCTCACCATGATAGTATTACCATCTCACTATGATAGTAACACCATCTCACTATGATAGTAACACCATCTCACTATGATAGTAACACCATCTCACTATGATAGTAACACCATCTCACTATGATAGTAACACTCTCACTATGATAGTAACACTCTCACTATGATAGTAACACCGTCTCACTATGATAGTAACACCGTCTCACTATGATAGTAACACCGTCTCACTATGATAGTAACACCGTCTCACTATGATAGTAACACTCTCACTATGATAGTAACACTCTCACTATGATAGTAACACCATCTCACTATGATAGGAACACCATCTCACTATGATAGTAACACCATCTCACTATGATAGTAACACCGTCTCACTATGATAGTAACACCGTCTCACTATGATAGTAACACTATGATAGTAACACCATCTCACTATGATAGTAACACTCTCACTATGATAGTAACACTCTCACTATGATAGTAACACCATCTCACTATGATAGCAACACTCTCACTATGATAGCAACACTCTCACTATGATAGTAACACCATCTCACTATGATAGTAACACCATCTCACTATGATAGTAACACTCTCACTATGATACTAACACTCTCACTATGATACTAACACTCTCACTATGATAGTAACACCATCTCACTATGATAGTAACACCATCTCACTATGATAGTAACACCATCTCACTATGATAGTAACACCATCTCACTATGATAGTAACACCGTCTCACTATGATAGTAACACTCTCACTATGATAGTAACACCATCTCACTATGATAGTAACACCATCTCACTATGATAGTAACACCATCTCACTATGATAGTAACACCATCTCACTATGATAGTAACACCATCACACTATGATAGTAACACTCTCACTATGATAGTAACACCGTCTCACTATGATAGTAACACTCACTATGATAGTAACACTCTCACTATGATAGTAACACCGTCTCACTATGATAGTAACACTCTCACTATGATAGTAACACCATCTCACTATGATAGTAACACCATCTCACTATGATAGCAACACTCTCACTATGATAGTAACACCATCTCACTATGATAGCAACACTGTCACTATGATAGTAACACCATCTCACTATGATAGTAACACCATCTCACTATGATAGTAACACCATCTCACTATGATAGTAACACCATCTCACTATGATAGTAACACCGTCTCACTATGATAGTAACACCGTCTCACTATGATAGTAACACCGTCTCACTATGATAGTAACACTCACTATGATAGTAACACCATCTCACTATGATAGTAACACCATCTCACTGGTGATAGTAAACACCATCTCACTATGATAGTAACACCATCTCACTATGAAGTAACACCGTCCTCACTATGATAGTAAACACCATCTCACTATGATAGTAACACCATCTCACTGTGATAGTAACACCATCTCACTGTGATAGTAACACCATCTCACTGTGATAGTAACACCATCTCACTATGATAGTAACACCATCTCACTATGATAGTAACACCATCTCACTATGATAGTAACACCATCTCACTATGATAGTAACACCATCTCACTATGATAGTAACACCATCTCACTATGAGAGTAACACCATCTCACTATGATAGTAACACCATCTCACTATGATAGTAACACCATCTCACTATGATAGTAACACCATCTCACTATGAGAGTAACACCATCTCACTATTCAAAAGTTTATTCTCTATAAGGATTACAATGTTGAGTTTACAGAAATTTGGTTATTGTTTGGTTTAACATGTAGTAAAATTGAGATTACAGAGTGTACCACTAGAACGCTTAGCATGGCTAGGCATTACAGAGTGTACCACTAGAACGCTTAGCATGGCTAGGCATTACAGAGTGTACCACTAGAACGCTTAGCATGGCTAGGCATTACAGAGTGTACCACTAGAACGCTTAGCATGGCTAGGCATTACAGAGTGTACCACTAGAACGCTTAGCATGGCTAGGTATTTCGGGCATACTTAGTTTTATTCTTAAATGTAAAATATTACAAATTATGAGGTAAGTTGGTATTATGGCTAAGTGACTAAATACTATTTTGTGAGTTTAGCAATGTGAATGCTTTTGTTTTGGCACAGTACATAGTTTCAGTATTGGAGTATCACAGGATTCATTATTTTAAGATTGAGATTAATATTTCCGTTTATGGTCAAATGAGTGAGCGAGTGTAAGTGTGAACCACCAGGTGGTATTCGTGTAGTTAGTTTGACGGGGTGTATCAGGGAGATAAGATGTTTTCTAATGTAGTTTTTTAATGTGATGAATGTGTCTGCATTCTAGAGTTCTCGGGTAGGGTATTCCAGATTTTAGGGCCTTTGACATACATTGAATTTTTGTAAAGGTTTAGTCGGACACGGGGAATGTCGTAGAGATGTTTTGTTTCTGGTGTTATGTCTGTGGGTTCTGTCACAACTATCAAGAAAGCGTTTAAGGTCAAGGTTGATATTAGAGTTTAAGGCCCTGTAGATATAGATTGCACAGTAGTAAGTGTGGATGTACTGAACTGGGAGTAAGTTTAGATCTTTGAAGAGTGGGGGGTGTGCTGCCAGGGATGGGATTTAGTGATTATTCTTACTGCAGCTTTTTGTTGGGTTATTATTGGCTTTAGGTGTGTTGCTGCAGTTGATCCCCAAGCACAAATAGCATAGGTGAGGTATGGATAAATAAGTGAGTGGTATAGTGTGAGAAGGGCATTTTGCGGCACGTAGTATCGTATCTTGGAGAGGATCCCAACCGTTTTGGATACTTTTTTGGCTATATGCTGGATATGGGTGCTGAAATTCAGGTTGTTGTCAAGGTATAAGCCTAAGAATGATAGTAACACTCTCACTATGATAGTAACACCGTCTCACTATGATAGTAACACCGTCTCACTATGATAGTAACACCGTCTCACTATGATAGTAACACTCTCACTATGATAGTAACACCATCTCACTATGATAGTAACACCGTCTCACTATGATAGTAACACCGTCTCACTATGATAGTAACACCGTCTCACTATGATAGTAACACTCTCACTATGATAGTAACACCGTCTCACTATGATAGTAACACCGTCTCACTATGATAGTAACACTCTCACTATGATAGTAACACCATCTCGCTATGATAGTAACACCATCTCACTATGATAGTAACACCATCTCACTATGAGAGTAACACCATCTCACTATGAGAGTAACACCATCTCACTATGATAGTAACACTCACTATGATAGTAACACTCTCACTATGATAGTAACACCATCTCACTATGATAGTAACACCGTCTCACTATGATAGTAACACCATCTCACTATGATAGTAACACTCTCACTATGATAGTAACACTCTCACTATGATAGTAACACCGTCTCACTATGATAGTAACACCGTCTCACTATGATAGTAACACTCTCACTATGATAGTAACACCATCTCACTATGATAGTAACACTCTCACTATGATAGTAACACCATCTCACTATGATAGTAACACCATCTCACTATGATAGTAAGACCATCTCACTATGATAGTAACACCATCTCACTGATAGTAACACCATCTCACTATGATAGTAACACCATCTCACTATGATAGTAACACTCTCACTATGATAGTAACACTCTCACTATGATAGTAACACTCTATGATAGTAACACTATGATAGTAACACTCTCACTATGATAGTAACACCATCTCACTATGATAGTAACACCATCTCACTATGATAGTAACACCGTCTCACTATGATAGTAACACCATCTCACTATGATAGTAACACCATCTCACTATGATAGTAACACCATCTCACTATGATAGTAACACCATCTCACTATGATAGTAACACTCTCACTATGATAGTAACACTCTCACTATGATAGTAACACCATCTCACTATGATAGTAACACCATCTCACTATGATAGTAACACCATCTCACTATGATAGTAACACCATCTCACTATGATAGTAACCACCATCTCACTATGATAGTAACACCATCTCACTATGATAGTAACACCATCTCACTATGATAGTAACACTCTCACTATGATAGTAACACTCTCACTATGATAGTAACACACTCACTATGATAGTAACACCATCTCACTATGATAGTAACACTCTCACTATGATAGTAACACTCTCACTATGATAGTAACACTCTCACTATGATAACATTATGATAGTAACACCATCTCACTATGATAGTAACACTCTCACTATGATAGTAACACTGTGATAGTAACGCTGCCACTCTCCCACTGATGCAGGTGTTCAGTGACAGGTGTTCAGTGACAGGTGTTCAGTGACAGGTGTTCAGTGACAGGTGTTGTTCCACATATTAGTGTGAAGTAACGCTGCTCTCATGTATTCCCAGTAATCACAGGTGTTCACTGACAGGTGTTCAACAGAGCAGTACCGTGGGCAACTGCTGTCCTGTCATGCGCCTCCCAGAATGGTCACCTGGCTGATGTAGCCACCGTTAATAAGGAGAAATTTGTTCATGAGTAAGTTCAAACCTTCTTTCTAACATGTGAACTTTTCGTTTTAAGGTTAATTATTGATAAATTAGACACATGTGCAACTCTTGGGTATCTTTATTGAGGAAACGTTTCGCCACACAGTGGCTTCATCAGTCCATACACAGAGAAGCTTGAAGAAATAGGAGGAGAATGAGTAATCATCCCTCAACCTTGAGTCGATGTGGTCAGTCCATCAATCAAGCTTCTCCTGTGTATGGACTGATGAAGCCACTGTGTGGCGAAACGTTTCATCAATAAAGTTACCCAAGAGTTGCATATGTGTCTAATTGATCAACATGTCGGTTCTCTGAACCATTCATCTACAATCCTGTCAGACACTGCAACTTCTTGGGATCTTAATACTTGGGAATTCTTCGCTTGCCTAATCCTTGGGCACGACTAACTTCGACATTGAACAAATGTGACACCACCTATGACTGCTGCACCTCTCCTACCTACGGTTTATAAGCTCCTTCTCCGCTCATATGCCGTATTCTACTCAAGATTGATGGACTGACCACATCGACTCAAGGTTGATTGACTGATTACCTCATTCTCCTCCTGTTCTTCAAGCTTCTCCTGTGTATGGACTGTAATAAAGTTGGTAGAATTACCGACAATATGTAAAGTAAAAGGACACAAGTGCAACTAATGTGACATTTATTGTGGCAACGTTTCGCTCTCCAGGAGCTTTATCAAGCCATTACAAACAATACATGGACACAGAGGGTATATAAAGGCTCAGAGTGAGGTGAATACTAGTGAGGTACCATTTCGATGTTCACTAGTGGTGGTAGTAGTAGTAGTAGTAGTAGTAGTAGTAGTGGTAGTGGTAGTAATAGTAGTAGTAGTAGTAGTAGTAATAGTAGTAGTAGTAGTGAGAAAAATAATACAATAAGGTAGAGCAATTAATTCGTACATGAGTAAAAGGATATAAAAGCTATTACTTGGGTAACATAAAAATAGGTTGGACAAATATAGACTGGAAAGAGGCAGGTTGTTTCAGTGTTCACTCTCTGTAACGTGCTTTGTGTAGTATAACAGGAGAGACTATGTGATGGCAGGGTTTACTGTTTTCAGGAGGATTCTTGTTAGGTAAGACACATATGCAACATAAGTGCTGCATAAGTGTCTCAATCTTCAACCTGTCGGTTTTTCAAACCATTCATCACAACTGTCAGACACTGCAGCATCATGGGATCTTGTTACAAAGAATTCTTCAACACTTGTTCTACCTTTGGACGAAGACTTACTTCGACTAGTGGATGGTACCACTATGACCCCGCCTCCTCCTGCTTCACCTCACCTCACTACAGTATATAAGCCACGTCTACGGCCCTATGCTGTACATTCTACAAGATTGATGGACTGAACACATAGACTCCAGGCTGAGGGACTGATTACCTCATACTCCTCTCCTTACGCCTTCCTCTTTGTATTGGACTGATGAAGCCACTGTGTGGCGAAACGTTTCCTGAATAAAGATTCCCATATGCTGCATAAGTGTCTCAATCTTCAACATATGCAATAGTTAGGTATCTTTATTTCGAAACGTTTCGCCTACACAGTAGGCTTCTTCAGTCGAGCAAGAAAGGTATAAAATACCGACAATATGAAAGTTAAGACACATGTGCAACATCTGGATATCGTTATTGTAGACGTTTCGCCATTCAGTGGCTTTATGAATACAGATTCTAGGACATAATAGGAAGACAGTAGAACTATATACAAAAGATGAGGTAATCAGTCCCTCGGCCTTGGAGTTAGTGTTCACAGCATCGTGGTGGAGGAGAATCTGGAGCAAAGGCAAGAAGACTGGCGGTTATATAGGCGTCAGTGGATAGGGACGGGCAGCAGACGAGGGCAGTCACTGGTAGGCGGGATTCCCCAGTGGAAGTAGGTCCTTCCCAAAGAGATGGGTTAGTTGCAGCAGCCGTGAAGGTCTTGTAGATGTCCTCTGAACCAAGATTACATGATGTTGCAGTGTCTGACAAGTTGTGCAAGTGGTAGGCGGGATTCCCCAGTTGCACAACTTGTCAGACACTGCAACATCATGGAATCTTGGTTCAGAGGACATCTACAAGACCTTCACGGCTGCTGCAACTAACCCATCTCTTTGGGAAGGACCTACTTCCACTGGGGAATCCCGCCTACCAGTGACTTTGCCCTCGTCTGCTGCCCGTCCCTTCCACTGACGCCTATATAACCGCCAGTCTTCTTGTCTTTGCTCCAGATTCTCCTCCACCACGATGCTGTGAACACTAACTCCAAGGCTGAGGGACTGATTACCTCATCTTTTGTATATAGTTCTACTGTCTTCCTATTATGTCCTAGAATCTGTATTGATAAAGCCACTGGATGGCGAAACGTCTACAATAAAGATATCCAGATGTTGAACATGTGTCTTAACTTTCTTCAGTCGAGTACAGAAGAGTTGATAGAAGCAGAAGAGACTTGAAGACGATGTAATCAGTCCATCACCCTTAAAGTTTTGAGGTGGTCAGTCCCTCAGTCTGGAGAAGAGCATCGTTCCATAGTCTGAAACAATATGGAGTTGAAGTGACAGGATGGAGCCTTATATAGCGCCAGGAGGTGAGACGTAGGTCACTAGTAGAAGTAAAAACGCAGATGTTGGGATTCTTGCTAAGACTTCGGAGATGGTGAAGCTGCCGTTGTTTTGTTTAATTGTATTCGAAACAGCGATCAGTGCTGATTCGAGGCACTTGCGTCTGCGGAAATTAGTTTCTTTGATCACTAATTGTGCGTCTCTGAATTTCATGAGATGATTGGTGGAATTTCGGTGTTGTACACAGGCGTTGTTCAAGTTATCGTTCCTACATGCGTAAATGTGTTCATTGAGGCGGGTGTCGAGGTTTCTTGCTGTTTCACCTACGTAAATCTTGTCACAGCCTCCACAAAATCCAAGCACCACGAACCAGTCAATGCAGGAGTTTACACTATACCCTGACGCAAGTGCCTCGAATCAGCACTAATCGCTGTTTCAAATACAATTAAACAAAACAACGGCAGTTTCACCATCTCCGAAGTCTTAGCAAGAATCCTCCTGAAAACAGTAAACCCTGCCATCACATAGTCTCTCCTGTTATACTACACAAAGCACAGAGAGTCAACACTGAAACAAGCTGCCTCATTCCAGTCTATATTTGTCCAACCTATTTTTATGTTACCCAAGTAATAGCTTTTATATCCTTTTACTCATGTACGAATTAATTGCTCTACCATATTGTATTACTTTTGTCACTACTACTACTACTTTCTACTACTACCACCACACTAGTGAACATCGAAATGGTACCTCACTAGTATTGCACCTCACTCTGAGCCTTTATATACCCTCTGTGTCCATGTATTTGTAGATGAATGGTTCAGAGAACCGACATGTTGATAAATTAGACACATGTGCAACTCTTGGGTATCTTTATTGAGGAAACGTTTCGCCACACAGTGGCTTCATCAGTCCATACAAAGGAGAATCTTGAACAGGAGGAGAATGAGGTAATCAGTCCCTCAACCTTGAGTCGATGTGGTCAGTCCATCAATCTTGAATAGAATACGGCATATGAGCGGAGAAGCAGCTTATAAACCGTTGGCAGGAGAGGTGCAGCAGTCATAGGTGGTGTCACATTTGTGACACATTAGATTCTCCTTTGTATGGACTGATGAAGCCACTGTGTGGCGAAACGTTTCCTCAATAAAGATACCCAAGAGTTGCACATGTGTCTAATTTATCAACATGTCGGTTCTGTGAACCATTCATCTACAAATAAGGTTAATTATTGTTGGTGATGGTAATTGTAACTTATGAGATCGTAATGACACGATTGCAAACGAATTATGTTACGGGTGGGGCTTGAACTCGCGGTAAGTGAGTGGAAAACTCAAGGGCGGTGTGTAAACCACTGGGCCAGCTGACAATAATATTCATCCAACTAGGTATAGTTATACACCATAGAGAGGTCAGCACAGGTGCCACTGTGACCACAAATTCATCTGTGAAAACTTGCATTTGTGGTCACAGTGGTGGCACCTGCTAACCTTCCTATGGTGTATAAATAATACCTAGCTGGGTGAATCTTATTGTAGCCAGCTGGTCCAGTGGCTAACGCGACGGTCTGGAGTTTACCTGGAGAGAGTTCTGGGGGTCAATGCCCCCGCTGCCTGGTTTGTGACCAGGCCCCACCCCCGTACCGTAGTTTAATAATCATAGTTTAATCTTACTAACCAAGGTTATGTTGTTGATTCTCCAATATTTTTAAGGATCACTTAACATGGTGTCCGTCCTTCACTCTGGCTCCGTTATCGTGGTGTCCGTCCTTCACTCTGGCTCCGTTATCGTGGTGTACGTCCTTCTCTCTGGCTCCGTTATCGTGGTGTACGTCCTTCACTCTGGCTCCGTTATCGTGGTGTTACGTCCTTCACTCTGGCTCCGTTATCGTGGTGTACGTCCTTCACTCTGGCTCCGTTATCGTGGTGTACGTCCTTCACTCTGGCTCCGTTATCGTGGTGTACGTCCTTCACTCTGGCTCCGTTATCGTGGTGTACGTCCTTCTCTCTGGCTCCGTTATCGTGGTGTACGTCCTTCACTCTGGCTCCGTTATCGTGCTGTACGTCCTCCCTCTCTGGCTCCGTTATATCGTGGTGTACGTCCTTCACTCTGGCTCCGTTATCGTGGTGTACGTCCTTCACTCTGGCTCCGTTATCGTGGGTACGTCCTTCACTCTGGCTCCGTTATCGTGGTGTACGTCCTTCACTCTGGCTCCGTTTATCGTGGTGTACGTCCTTCACTCTGGCTCCGTTATCGTGGTGTACGTCCTTCACTCTGGCTCCGTTATCGTGGTGTACGTCCTTCACTCTGGCTCCGTTATCGTGGTGTACGTCCTTCACTCTGGCTCCGTTATCGTGGTGTACGTCCTTCACTCTGGCTCCGTTATCGTGGTGTACGTCCTTCACTCTGGCTCCGTTATCGAGGTGTACGTCCTTCACTCTGGCTCCGTTATCGTGGTGTACATCCTTCACTCTGGCTCCGTTATCGAGGTGTACGTCCTTCACTCTGGCTCCGTTATCGTGGTGTACGTCCTTCACTCTGGCTCCGTTATGTAGATATCTTTGATCTTTGGCCCCATGACTCGTCTCTTCCAGCCATTTCTCGTTTCCCTTAACAATTCTGTTTCTGAATGGGACTCTAACTCTTTGTTCCCTTTCCTTGATGTTTATGTCCACTACTCGACTACAGGCTTTTCTCTTTCCGTTTCTCGCAAGCTTATAACAGTGTCATGTTTATTCACTACTTTGCTTACCATGTTTGCTCTGTCAAGGAAAGGGTCCTTATATCTCTGTCTCCGTGTTCTGTTCATTTGTGACTCTTGGTTCATTGAATCAGAAATTTCCACTCTTCGTGATCATTCTCTCGTGTCAACTACCTTTCCCATTTCATAAAGTCTGCCGTCTTGCCTCCTAAACGGACTTTCTTCTCTCCCAAGCTCTCTACTCCTGTGAAATTTCTTGTTCTCTGACTGTCCAATTTTCCAGTCTTTCTAATCTCAAAACTCTCTCTTCGTTCCTTAGACATCAAACTTACATTTCTGCCAAACTAACTCACTTCGCAGTAATCAAGTTTGTACCCTTTCCTCTGCAACTGATGCTCCTGGTGCCTACTCTATCTCATTCTCCTGTAGTCCTCTCTAATACTTTGGAGAGAAATCCTCGTTCTCTTCCTGACAGACTCGAGGAGCACAAAAGAGGTGTTTAAACTTGCCGACACCAATAATATTCTTTTCTGTCATGTTATAAACAACTTGTATGAATTTTAATCCTGGGTTTATCTCTGTTGATGCCTTCCTCTCCCATTACATTGTTAAATGTTCCCAACTTCAGAACACTCGTGACTTAACTTGATCTTTCCTCTCCCTACCTCTTCTCCTTACCTATTCTTTTTTCTTTTTATTTGGTTACCTTTCTCCTGCCTAAGGAGCGAATGGAGACAAGTGAATTTTAGGGCCTGACGTGCTGTTAGAGTGTAAGCAAGGTAACATTTATGAAAGGGTTCAGGGAAACCGGCAGGCCGGACTTGAGTCCTGGAGATGGGAAGTGCAGTGCCTGCACTCTGAAGGAGGGGTGTTAATGTTGCAGTTTAAAAAACTGTAGTGAAAAAGCACCCTTCTGGCAAGACAGTGATGGAGTGAATGATGGTGAAAGTTCTTTTTCGGGCCACCCTGCCTTGGTGGGAGACGACGATGTGTTATATATAATATATATATATATATATAAAATATATTTTATATATATATATATATATATATATATATATAATATATTTATATATATATATATATATATATATATATATATTATATATTTTATATATTATATATATATATATATATATATATATTTTATATATATATATATTATATATTATATATATAAAATGTCGTGCCGAATAGGCAGAACTTGCGATCTTGGCTTAAATAGCAACGCTATCTTGCCATATAGGACAAGTGAAAATTGTGTATGCAATAATTTCGCCAAAATCATTCTGAACCTGACGAAAAAAAAATATATTTCACTGTGTTTGTTTAGTATTAAATTATTGTGAACAAATCTAAAATATATTTAGTTGGGTTAGGCTAAAATAATTTATTCTTGTTATAATAAGGTTAGGTAAGTTTTCTAAGTTCCTTTTGGTGCAAATTTATAATTTTTTACATTTTAAAATTAATGAAAAAAATATATCTTTAAACGTATAAGAGAAAATTTTAGAAAGGACTTAATTTTAAATGAGTTCTTGCTAATTGACCAGTTTTACATATTCGGCACGACATATATATATATATATTATATATATATATATATATATATATATATATATATATATATTTTATATATATATATATATATATATATATATATATATATTTATTTATATATATATATATATATATACAATTATTTTTTAAAACATGTTGGTTGGTTTGGCCAGAAAACAAGGATGTCGACCGGCCTTTTGTGGGTCGAGCGGCACCTCCCATTCTCCCGCAAAAGGGTAAGTTTCAGTGAGTGGAGGCATCACTCAATCTGTTGGTGTAGGTTCAGCTGGGTGGGGCGGGGCACTACCCACTCTGTCTAGTAGTAGGTTCAGTGGTGTGGAAGGCACTACCCACTTGTAGTTGTAGGTTCAGTGGGTGGAAGGAATACCCACTCTGCTAGTAGTAGGTTCAGTGGGTGGGCTAGGCACCACCTACTCCTCTAGCGGTAGGTTCAGTGGGTTAGGGAGGAACTACCCTCTTTGTTGTAGTAGGTTCAGTGGGTGGCCGGCAACACCTACTCTCTAGCGGTAGGTTCAGTGGGTGGGAGGCCACTATCACTCTCGGGGGCATAGTTGTAGGTACAGGTGGGGAGGGCGGCACCACTACTCTACTAGCGGTTAGGTTCAGTGGGTGGGAGGAACGACCCACTCTGCTAGGTAGTTAGGTTCAGTAGTGTGGGCGGCAACACCACCTACTCTACTAGCGGTTAGGTTCAGTGGGTGGGAAGCACTATCCACTTGGCCTCTGTTAGTTGTAGTTCAGGGGGGGGCGGCCACCACCTACTCTACTTGCGGTAGGTTTCAGGTGGGATGGAAGGCATACCCACTTGCTCAGTTGAGGTTCAGTGGCGTGGGCGGTCACAACTACTTACTAGCGGTAGGTTCAGTGGGTGGGAGGGCACTACCCACCTCTGCTAGTAGTAGGTTTCAGTGGTCGTGGGCGGCACCACCTACTCTAACTAGCGGTAGGTACAGTGGGTGAGCAGAGGCACTACCCTCTGTTAGTAGGTTCAGGGTGCCGGCGGCACCACCTACTCTATAGACGGTAGGTTCAGGTGGGTGGAGGCATACCACTCTTGCTAGTGATAGGTTAGTGGGTGGGACCGGCACTACCACTCTGCTAGAGGTAGGTTAGTGGGTGGGAGGGATACCCCTCTGCTATGGAATAGGTTCATGTGGGTGGGAGGCACTACCCACTTGCTATAGTGATAGGTTTCAGTGGGTGGGAGGCACTACCACCTCTGCTAGTGATAGGTTCAGTGGGTGGGAGGCCACTACCCACTCTGCTAGTGTTAGGTTCAGTGGGTGGATCTCTCTCTGACATAGTAGGTCCCGTTATGGTTCCAGTTAGTCTTCCATTTGAGTTTCAGTCACTTGCTAGATTTTTTTTTGATATTTTGCCACGAAGTGGCTAGTTTATTGTGTCACCCCATATCCATCCCTATGTGGACGATTGGCAAAGAGCATATGGTTACCAAAAAGCCCAGGAATACTAGATCCCAAAAGGGTTAACAGGAATACATATGGTTTTATATCAACATATCTATAAGTTTCACTTATCTGTTACAGCAAATTTAGGAAATTTGCTTTCGTATTAGCTGGAATCTTATTTTCATTAATAAAGATAAAACATAAATTTTTTTTCTTGACATGTCAACATAGGTTAATTCTATTGTTCAGTCTCTGTTATTCATCAATAAGTGGACATTAAGCACATAGTGTTCAAGACAGTGACCATATGTCTGATCACATAATTTACAATTAGTTTGTTCATCGTCTGGATGTGTTCTCCCAAACTGCCAGAAGTACTTGTAACCAAGCCTAAGCCTGGCCACTACAACATCAGTCAGTAATTGTAACCAAGCTAAGTCTGGGCCACGACAACATCAGGTCAGTACTTGTAACCAAGCTAAGTTCTGGCCAATACCAACATCAGCTCAGTTACTTGTTACCAAGCCGAAGCCTGGCCACTACCATCTTCAGTCAGTACTTGTAAACCAAGCCTAAGTCTGGGCCACTACAACATCAGTCAGTAATTGTAACCAAGGCTAAGCTTGGCCACTACACATCAGTAGCTACTTGTAACCAGCCTAAGTCTGGCCACTACAACATCGTCAGTACTTGTAACCAAGCCTATGCCTGGACACTACAACATCAGTCAGTACTTGTAAACAAGCCTAAGCATGGCCACTACAACATCAGTCAGTACTTGTAAACCAAGCCTAAGTCTGGCCACTACAACACAGTTCCAGTAACTTGTAAAACTCAAGCCTAAGCCTGGACCACTACAACATCAGTCCGTACTTGTAATCAAGCCTAGCTGGCCACTACAACATCAGTTCAGTACGATGTAACCAAGCCTAAGTTCTGGCAACTACAACATTCAGTCGTAATTGATAACCAAGCCTCTGTCTGGCCACTAAAACATCACAGTCAGTTCTTGTTACCAAGCCTTTTGTCTGGCCCACTACAACATCAGTCTGTACTTGTTACCAAGCTAAAGTCTGGCCACTATCAACATCCCCACTGTCAGTACTTGTAACCAAGCCTTAGTCTGGCCACTACAACATTCAGTCAGTACTTGTTACATGCCTAAGTCTGGCCACTAATACATTCAGTCAGTACTTGTAACCAGCCTTAGTTGGCCACTACACATCAGTCAGTACTTTGTAACCCAAGCCTAAGCATGGCCACTTCAACATCAGTCAAGTTCTTGTAACCAAGCTAAGGCCTGGCCACTAAACATCAGTCAGTATCTTGTTACCAAGCCTAAGCCTGGCCACTACAAACATCAGTCAGAATACTTGTAACCAAGCCTAAGCCTGGCCACTACAAACATCAGTCTGTACTTGTTACAAAGACTTCTAAGCCTGGCCACTACAACATCAGTCAGTACTTGTAACCAAGCCTATAGCCTGGGCCAATACAACATCAGTCAGTTACTTGTAACCAAGCCTAAGCCTGGCCACTACATCATCAGTAAGTACTTGTAACCAAGACTACTGCCTGGCCACTACGAACATCAGTCAGTATTGTAACCAAGGCCTAAGCCTGGCCACTACAACATCATGTCAGTACTTGTAACCAAGCCTAAGTCTGGCCACTACAAAATCAGTCAGTATTGTAAAACCAAGCCTTAAACCTGGCCACTACAACATCGTCAGTACTTGTAACCATGCCTATAGCCTGGCCACGAACAACATCAAGTCCAGTACTTGTAACCTAGCCTAAGTCTGGCCACTTCACATCAGTCAGTACTTGTAACCAATGCCTAAGTCTGGCTACA